TACTATAAAACTATAAAATTATAAAACTATAAAGAAATTTTATTATACCTCTATTGTATTTTAACGAAAATCCAAGGAAATATAGTGTAGCGACGACATAATGGTCTTATAAAAAACAAAAAAAACAATAGAAAAATGTTGTGGAATAAGAAGGCGTTTACGCTTTTTTAATATCAATTTTAAAGGTTCATTAGACCCGAACTTACCAAAATTAAAAAAAAAAAGTAAGTGCTTCTTATTTCCAAAATCGACCACCTGTAACAAGAAACACAAAGAACTGCTCACATTTTCCATTTTTCTAACACGCGCGAACACGAAACACGAGGCGCAAAGATGCCCCAAAAGGTTGAAGAACGTACAATTTAGTAATAAAGAAAGGTGTCCGGCAACAAAGCGGCTCTTTGGCCGCTTACACACACTCTCTCCTTTCTTCTTTCGCAAAGGGGACGAAGAAACGACGCTTGACTCGTGTGGAAGAGTGAAAACGAACGGTACAGAGGGTGAAGAGCAACGGTGGCGAGACATAAAAGTAAGCTCGGGTGAACCGCGACACAACATTATAGTTTCTATCCGGTGTACTTACCCATTGTTACGTTACAGCTTCTCCTAAATACCGAGTGCTTGCCTTTTCTACCCTTCTTTCAAAACCTCGATTCTCGCCGGGACACCGTCGAATCGAATCGTTTTTCGTATTGCCGAGGTTTTCGAAACATCGATGATGATATTGAACAAAGAGTGATAAAAAATGGAAAATTCGATAGGATGAAACGTTTCGTTATGGAAATTTGTTAAAAATGAATAAGAAGATTTACGAGTTTTGGAAAACGTTTTGATAAATTTTGCAAGATCTATATTTTCTATATCTAAATTTTACAAGATTTCCCTTCTTCGTTTTGTCTGTAATTCCAAGTCAACAGTTCGCAAGCTGTTCGTATAACGTTTCTTATTGCTAAAAATGTTAGTGCTTGTTAGCAATATTTAACGAATTTTTTAAATAATACGGATAGCCAATTTACTATTTCGTTCATTCTGTTCTGAAGTTCTGGGGCTGTTGCTCATCAGTTTCTTATCAGAAGACACCCTCGTCTTCTCCACTCCGTGGCCAGATCCTCTAGAAACAATACTCCCACTCTTTTAAATGTGAAGCTGACTTGCCAGAAGCGCCTTCTGTGCCCACCGCATCAAATGAATTAGGACGTTTTTTCTTATACCTTAAAAAACAAACGATGTACCTATCAGGTTTAAATTTACGTGTGTCATTTACGAAGTTCCATGACGAGTTAAGACGTCTTGCGCGTTGGAGAAACATTTTGCATCCCGACATACGCGACTTCAGTGTTAGCAAATAACTCCGCCATCTTGTAGCATTCTTGATTTTAAAAATATTGGAAAATAAAGGCGGAAGTTGCATATTTGTCCACCAAAAATATCCAAACTCTTCACTTAGTAATTGCCTGTAAAAAAATTCACAAAGAAAGCGATTTTCTGAAACCGTCTGACAGGTGTACCTTAAGGGTTAAAGGGTTAAAACGCTTTCCTAGTATAACGAATTTAAAGAAATCAATTCTTTTGCATTTTCTTATAGTTTGTCGCACGCATATACCTCCAATTCCCGCGTATTATCGAAAGATAAATAATAAATGCATCAGTATATTCAAAAGAGTGTTAAACATTTATCAACACTCTTCTTCTTTTCCTTAAACAACGGTCACACTGAATACGTATTCGAACGAACTGTCATTCTGACGAACTCGACACGCCGAAACAATCAAATCTGCACACATATTCTTCTAAGTGCATGCATTTCAGTCTTCAGACGTTCCATTCGTCAGACCGTCAATTCATCCGAACACTCATCCCTTCTAACCGCAGCCTTAGTCGTCGATTCACGTCTCCCGTCGCGAACGCTCGAAAAATAAAACACGTCAATTCACGTCGTTCCCGTCAGCAATGTGTCAGATATATTTCATTTAAGTTTAATCCAGCCTCCCGTTGACTTCCGACCAACGCCGAGAATCCTACGTTATATCCACAAGCAACGTCAATTAACCGCGACAATGGTTTTCCTTAAGCAGAGGAGAACGAAAGGAGAAATTCAGTTGTCGTAGACAAAAATGCGATCTGCGGTTCCGTATAAATCTGTAAATGGTCTTTGGTCAAGGAGCCGGGATCTCGGCTCATTTTCCCAACAGATTTCACGAGCTCTCTCTGTCCCGCCGCGGCAGATTTGCCCGCGCAACGGGCATTAACCATGGCGACCGTGTCCAAATTAAAAAACGGCGACTTACCGCACCTCTCTCTCTCTCTATCTTGGCTACACTCCGTAAATTACACGCGATCGATAACGGGTGCTTTGCAAAATGCTGCCGCCCGTTGCTTTGATACGTTATGCACGCGGTCCCGACGTATGCGCGTTTTTAAAAATGAATGGACACACTCCGAAAGAATAAATGGGCCGCGCTTCGCGGGACGGTTATAAAGGATTGATTAAAGTGAAGCACGCCGCGGAGGAGAAAAAAAAAATATATATATATGCTGAGAGAGATAGAGGGGAGGGGAGTGGATGACGAGAGGGGTCGCGTCAGATGCAAAACTGCGGCGTATATCTCGTTATCACCTGCGACCGTGGCTGAATCTGCGAACGGTGCTGAACGACGGGGCGTACATTGTTCTATGGTGTCGGAAGGGTGAACCGAGATTGACGATTTAGGGAAATCGCGCGATTTTTTATTGGCACGTGTTGTTCTATTTCGCGTCTAACAGAAGGTATATCTACGTCTGGATGTTTCTTTTAATAGGAGGTATATTTAGTTGGGAATTTCATCTAACTAAGTTAATTTTGAATTTTTTAAATGAAAATTCGAGGTTAAGCTTTTTATTTTAGCTTTTTTGGGTGAAATTGTGGCGAAAGAAATACAGTAGGCTTAGTACACACACACACGATATTAATATAAACGCTATTTATTAAAGAAGAATACAGTCAACCCTCCTACAACGCGGTACGGTTTCCATATAACGCGGTGCCAAAATTGCGACGGCCCTCCTATAACGCGGTTTCCGTTCAACAACATTCCATCAACTTAATTGGTTTAAGAAGATTCTCTATAGCATGAATTTATCTATGTGTTAAATTTTTACAGTTGAAATTAGCGGGGAATTCCCTTCTTTTTGGTGAAGGTACATCACCATTTTCCAATTTCAGTTATCAGGGAATTCCCCTATAAGCGAAGAAACGATGCGAGATTGTTCACAGTGTTCTGTTTTAATGCTTAAAATAGATCGTATGATTGACTGTTGCGTATTTGCGTGAATTTTTTTATTCAATAGCACTGCCGAACTTTCGCTGTTGCAACCACTTACTTTGTCATCAATTTTAAGTGCAACTTACAACTTGTTAGTAGGAAACTGTCTGTAAAACCGTGCAGACGTACATATCACGATTAGTGTTCAATAAAACGCCTTTTGCTCGCTTAATTTGTGTTATCGTAATTGGACAACATTACACAATACTGTAAAAATAATAAAAATAAAAATAATGAATAAAAAAAAATAAAAATAAAAATAATTTTATTGTACTTAACATATTATCTTGCCTTTTGTGTTTGTAAAATTTTTTCCACAACCGTATGCACCGTAACTTGACGCTCTGAGAATGCAATTTTCATTCAACGCAGAACGAATCAAACTGATTAACAAGTGATTTTACTTACTTCCGAGTTTCACTCAACGCGGTTCCTATATAACGCGGTACGAATCAATCTGATTCGTACTAATTCTGAGTCTCTTACAGCGCGGTTTCCATATAACGCGGCACGAATTAATCTAGTTTGCACGTTAAATCTGAGTTTCTTATAGCGCGGTTTCCATATAACGCGGTACGAATTAATCGCGTTACAGGAGGGTTGACTGTATATATGTTTCGACATATTCTTACCGCGAAAAAGAACGCGGATTCTTTACCTTACTAGAGAGGGAAAATCGACATTCTATTGGAAAGAATCAACGAAAATCAATTAAAACAGCCTGACAAAAATTGAGCGTGGAATTTTCTTAATTTCATATTTAGTACTTTTCTTTTTAGATACTCTGCTGTGTTTGTGAGTTGCCTAATAAGATACAATAAATGGGACGTTTGAAGGAAATATGAATTATTTTACAGAATACATGTTAAGTATCAAAATGAAATAATGGAAGTAAAAAAATTTGCGGAATGACAGAGAAAGAGGGTATTTTTATTTTTCGTCGTATTCCCCCTTAATCTAGCTACATTTTTCACTCCGATTTAATTGATTTATTCCCTCATGAAAATATACTGTTTCTTTCGCCCGAAAATTTATCCTCCCCCGATGATTCTTTTTTTTCATATTTGGAAGTAAACAGTAACCAGGCGGGATCGTGAAAATAGAAGTGTTAATTTTTTAGTGTAACGATTATTTTCGTTGAATACAATTCACCGTGTGAATAAAAATAAAGTATCGCACTCGACATCGTCAACTGTTCACTTTCGAAATTAGTCGATTTGCAGAAGCTACCACGAATAACTATACGATACGAAAGCAAAAGCGGTGAATTTAGTGGCACGCGGCACTCGCAAACTCTGCGGTGAATTAACCGTTCCCGCTACCGTTTAACTTGAACAACGGAACAACGTTCCTTTGAAGACTGAGACGACTCAATCGCGTCTACGTAAGGCTTCAGAAACCGAGTACAACCGACGCGCTGCATTTGTCGAAAGTGCTTCAGTAGATTATTGTTGTATCGTCACACCTTTCTAATTACACGATACCCTCGATTCAAACGTGTACACAATTTTCGTTATTTTTTTAGTGGAACGATGAACAATTTTTGTTATTTTTCAGTGGAACGACGAACAATTTTTGTTATTTTTTTAGTGGAACGACGAACAATTTTTGTTCATCACGAATGATGCGATTTTGAGAAACTCTTAAGGTGAGAATACTGGACTCCTTTTTCGACTTTTAAGGCCTTCTTTTCGAGTCTCCTTCAATTTTTTGAAAGATGAGAACTTTGGTCCTCTTTTATGCCTTTTCAAGCTTTTCTTCAAGACACTTCCAAAATTTTAAGAGATGAGATGATTGGGCTCTTTGGTGTCTTTGCCAGCATTTTTTTCGAGTCACTTCCAATTTTTTGAAAGATGAGAATGTTCGTCTTCTTTCTATGCCTTTTCAAGCTTTTCTTCAATTCACTTTCAATTTTTTGAAAGATGAGAACCTTGGACTTATTTCATGCCTTTTCCTCCAGTCAGTTTCAATTTAAAAAAAAAATGAGAATATTGGACTCTTTTCTATACCGCTTCAAGTCATTTTCAATTTTTTGAAGTTTCACTCACTCACTAAGAGAAAAAAAAGAAAAATAGTACTTAGGCTCACAAAAACCAGAACATAGAAAAAACTAGCATCGAATCCTTGTAGCTGTTTATAAGTCCCATCGCAATAAAAAGATTTTTTAGAAATCTAATACATAAAGTTCATAACCACGTTTCAATTTATTTTTTCGCGATAAAACGCTCGAATAAGGACTTCCTAAATTTGCAGTTCTATGTTGCAATTGATTCCTTCGGCTAAAGTTACTCTTAACAGTCGTTCGCTGCACATTTTTCCAATAGATTACAGCGAAAATTGATAATTCAGCAAAAAAATGCATTCT